CCTACAGGGGAGAGAGATGAATTTTCCATTAATTGATGTTTAAATTAATTTCAAAATTCTAATTAAAATTGCAAAGGGTTAGGCCAGGCCCATGACCTAGTGGTTAAAAGTACATGAATGTGCGTGCCACAAATCCCAACAGGATGGAGAATGGAGGAGAAGGGATTGCAGTGTGACCACACTCCACTGGGGAGTGCTTTTTCTCTCGCTCTTTTTCCTTCTCTGTCACTCTGGCAAGTACACATGCCCTCTGACAAACATTTTTAAAAATTACAAAGTTAATTTCTTCCACTTATTTATTCCTTGTGTACCACAAGTATTCAACATTCTTAAGTTAGTTGGATTTGTTATTCTTACTGCCTCCAGTAAGTTGCTTTCATGACCTGTGTGTTTCCTATTGTCTTTCGGGTAAAAAGTCCAGTCTCTTAATTTCATAATGGCTTTCTTTCCCACCTATGAAAACTCCATTCCCCCACTTCTCCCTAATGCCACCGTTTGCCATTCTATTCTCTTATGTGTTTGTGTGCTATTTTATGATTATCTGAAATAACCCTATTAGCTTATTTGTCTAGTTGGGTATTTTACAGATACAGTTCATATGTGTAAGAACCTTGTTCATCTCCTCCACATATCTCAGGTGCCTAGAATATTGTTCCCTGAATGTGGCATTTGTGACATCAAGAAATATTCATTTAGTAAATAAAATATTAGCGGTTCTAATATTAAAATCAAATTAAATGATCACAAATCAGTTAAAAAATAGCTCTATAGAAAGGAAGAGAGAAGACACAGTGAGAAATACACAAAATAAAAATAGCCAAAAAAATTCCAAATTTAAGAAAACAAATTGAAACAGCAGGGTATGCTTTTTCACTTAAGTTCCTACATATGTCAGGATTTTGTAAATCTCAAGTTTTGTAATATAATGCAACACTTTGCAAATATACTTTTGTATAAATATGTACATAATTTCTTCCTTTTTTTTTTCTTTTTTATTTATTGCCAGAGAGCTGAGCTCACCAAAAAGAGATGAAAAGAGGGAGACAGGGAAGGCATCCCTAAATGGGACATGGTCATGCTGCAATCCCTTCTTCATTTCGCCATCCCACTGAGATCTTAGGCACATATGCACATGTGCCTAGTGAGTTTTTTTCAAGTTCTCAAGGCTGAGATCTGAAATGTGGTTGGCCTTGTGGGATCCACCTTCCTTAACTACTAATCTACAGGGCTGGCCCATACAGAATTCTATCCAGGGAAAGGTCCACATGAAAAAGAAAGAAAACTTTAAGCACTAAAAGCATATATAATGCATATAAAATTTCTTGATTATGCTGATTATATTTTGCTTATCTTTGATCATTAAGTAATCACTATGTCATATAGACAGTAAATGCCTTGATGGGTTTCTTTGTTTCATTGTTTTAGGTACTGTGGCTATAGACTTGCAAGACACAAGTTGTAGGTCAGCAAGTGGCCCTACCCTGTCTCTTCCTACAGAGGGAAGCAAAGATTTAAGAAGACCTAGTATCGCTCCTGTTTTAGAGGTTGCAGATACATCATCAATTCAGACATGCGATCTTCTAAGTGACCAATCAGAAGATGAAACTACACCAGATGAAGAAATGTCTTCAAACTTAGAGTATGTTTAGATACTCTAAGATGCAAGATTATTGGGTTTTGCTGTAAGATCCATAATGAATGTCTTTAGGTCTCTTGCCAATAGATAAGGAGCTAATGTTCTTACCTTACAGACAAACAAGACTCATTTCTATATTTTTCTATCAACATCCCCCACTATTAGGCAGTATCTCTCTTGACTGCAGAACATTCTAAGGTCTGAAGTTTCTTTTTGCCTTCTTTAGAGATCTTTTTGCTATAGGGTGCGCATGCTCGCCGGACAGAGATAGAAAGCAAGAAATCACACCTCAGACGGATGGCCGCACTGCAATCCTCCATTCTCTTCTCAGGATTTTGAACACAAACACATGTGCCCGGTGTGAGTTTTAAGCCTCTAGGTCTGGAACTTGAACTGTGCTTGACTGCATGGTCTCCAACGACGTAACCACGACACCATCTGCTGGTCTCAAGGCTCAAGTTTCTGACTTCAGAATATATTTCTAGATTAATTTTTCCTCTAAATCATCCTTTATCCTTAAGGAGAGAAATATATCAATTCATATTCCCAGGACACACACTGTGTTTTTATAGTGGTCTTCTTGTAATATTAATCTTTCTACCTTTCGTCTCCTTTATTTCACGTCCATATTGAAGTTCAATCAGTGAATCAATGACAAGTAACTGCAGCCTCCTCTATTAAACTTTCCTTGCTGATCTTAGCCTGTTTTAAACAATATGCATTAGGGACCAGCAGTTGGCATAATGGCTATTTCACTGGACTCCCATGTAGTTGATTGCTGTGCGAGTCTTGGACTTGGTGGCTTAAACTCACACCAGGCACATATGTGTGCATGCCGAAGATCCCCAAAGGAGAATGGAGGGGAAGGGATTGTGGCGTTGCCATATCTCCTGGAGGATGATTTCTCGCTTTCTGTCTCTGTCATTCTGGTGAGTGCAGGGTCCTATAGCAAAAACCTCTAAAAAAAAAAACAAAAAAAAAAAACAAAGCAAAACAAAACGGTATGCATCAATACTATTTAAAATATTTGAATAAAAGATGTATAGTCCTTTTCTAAACTTCTGTAGTAATACATTACTAATCACTACAGTTTTAATCTCATATCAGCCTTCTACAGAGCGTGTTCACACCTCTTAAGCCATCTTATATCATCATTTTTGGAGGGAAGCGTAGTGGCTCATGGTCTTGACTGTGGAGTATAGAAGATTTTGTTTGTCATGCTGGTTCCGCCTGACAATGGTTGTGTACAAGTAACTTCGATGAAACAATATGGCTTGCATTTTTTTTTAATCTGTTAATTGGGTAATATTACTACCTTATAGTATTAAGTGAAAACTAACTGAGATAATAGAGGAAACAGTGCTGATTACAATTTTTTGTACAGGTTAAGCATTCCATTGAATTACTCTTAGTAGTACTTTTATTTCTTTCAATGAGCTTGTACATATTGAAGTTCTTAATGAGATAAACATCAAGGAAGATGGCTTTCACTAAATTTTTTCTCATCTCCTAATTTTTACTTATGCTGTTTCCTAATTTTAATATTTCCTAAATTTCAGTTATGCCGTTACATTTAAAAGTTCCATTTTGAACATCTTTACAATCAAAATATATAGGTCGCATTTTTTTAAATTTGGCAGACAAACTAAGTGTCTCTGATGATATTTCATGCATGATTCCAGCAAAATTCTATCTGTAACTAGTTAATCATTTGCTCCCTTTTGGTTATGAATTAATGTCCAATGACAATTGAAGGAATCATAACCTATTTTATTTTAAATGTATTTTGTAAAAATTAACATTACTAAAAACATATCTAAATCTTCCAAGGTGAGAGTTGGCAAATCTTTTCTAGAAAGGAACAGCTAGTAAATTTTTTGAACTTTATATAATTGTCACATGACATCAAATTAAAACAAAATTTCAACCATTTAAAAAATATAAAAATCTTTCTTAGTTGCAAAATAACCATGTAATAGGCCAGGATTGTTCTCTGGGGTGTAGTTTGCCTACTCTTGTTCTTTATAGTCTCCTTACAAAATAAAATTCTAGCATAAAGTTATTGACTTTCATTTTATCAAGACAGAGAACGTGACCATTACTTAATCTTCCAATTCTGTACACCTTATCCAGGCATAATATTTCCTCTTGTTTTGCAGGTATGCTAAAGGCTACCCCCCATACTCTCCGTACATAGGAAGTTCACCCACTTTTTGTCATCTCCTTCATGAAAAAGTGCCATTTTGCTGCTTAAGGTTAGACAAGGTGAGGCCCTTGTTACTATTTTATTCTCCAAACAAAATTATGGCATTACAATTATATATATTTAAATAACTTGTACAGTATTTCACCTAAACTATGTTTAAAGGATATTATCTTTTCTAATTAAATCTGATGATATAAATTGTTCGATTTTACTTCTTTGCACTAGATATCACCCAAAGGACTTACCTTTCTACTAAGTTAACCAGATAGATCAGCTAGTCGTGTTTTTAATGTCCAAACAGAATAATTCTAAGAATCCTAGAATTTGAGCTTGACTTGTATGGGTTTACCCTCCTAAAGAATAAGAAACTAGAAAAGAAGTTCCTGACATTCCTAGTAGGGATTAAAATGCATTACTGATTCTAGCCAGGGAGTTCTTTGTTCACTCTAAAGTTTGGAGTTAGAATTAAAATTCCAACTCTCCATTTACAAGTTGTACAATTTGGACATCACACTTCCCGAGTAAACTATAGTTTTCTTCTCTGTAAAACAGATGTGGTTTTAATATGAACCGTATAGGGCTCTTAGAGGGATTATATCACAGTGCCAGAAACTTAACTGATTAGATATTTTCTACATTTTATTTAGCATTCTTGCTATTTTTTCTTTATACGACACACATAAATTTTGACTATGGCTGAATTCTTGAGTAATAAAATAAACAAAATGTTAGACAATTTCTGCCTTTATCTCCCTGCAGTTGCTTTCTGAATCTTTGCCATTGCTCCTAAATATTCCTCTAGGCTCATGGAGATGGATAATTCCATTTCTCAAGGCTTTTTGACTTTTTTTTTTACAGTTCTTATTTTAATTTAATATTCTGAAGCATCAATATTTCTGACTAGTTGTGTGTTTTGGGTAATGTTAATAAATTCTAAATTCCAGGTGCTTCACCTACACTGACCCCTTCCAAAAGTAATTTTTCTTATGACTAAGTCTGCAAAGACCAAAGAGTGGATTTTATTTGTCTGCCCACAGGAAATCTGATCTAGTTGAAAGGATAAGTTTTCAAAGATTGGTAGGGGAACAATAGAGGATCTTTTAAAGCCAAAAGAGTATTAACTGTTTCTTTACCATATTAATAAAGCAAAGTTTCTGGGTATTGCCAACTGATGGATGATGCCTGGAATTTTTAATTACTTAGGTAGCTCTAGTTGGTAGGAGGTGATCTTCTCCATAAACAAATGCTCACCCTGGAGTTATGGACGGGATCATGCAGCTAATTCTACCATGGGAAGTGTGTTGAGTTGGGACCATGTTCTCCAGTCCATTCTGGTGTCCTGATTCGATTTTATCAACATTAATTCCCTCTGCTGGCTTTTCCTTACTAATTGAGCTAACTTCTAAGACTTATGGAAAGTCATTTTTTTCCCCTTGATGTATCTCATACATATTGAAGTTCTTAATGATCCAGATATTAACCCATTGCTCTCCTCTTTCCATGACCTCTTTCTGAGTGACCGTATTTTCCCATTTGGCTCCAGAGACTGCTTCTGTTCTTAGTTCTCCAAGCACGTCTTCAGTGCATACTCGTTGCCCTCATTCTTTACTGTTTTCTTCCTTCTCTCTTCCTCTTTTTTGCTTATACTTTCCTTCTGGATTTATTTTCCTATGTCCTAGATTACAGCCTTTAGAGATTCTTTTAAGGAGAGTCTGTTGGTGGTGAATTCTTTCAATTGTAGTTTTATGGTTTCCCTTGAAATGTTTCTATTTTGTCTTCATTATTAAAAATAGCTTTGCTTGTTGTCCAATTCTAGGCTGTTAGTTTTTTTTTGCCTTTCAGCACTTTAAAGACTATTCTGCCTTTCTTCCAAGTTACTATGGAAAAGACAGCTGTCTTCCTAATTGTCGCTCCTCACAGGTAGTTTCTCTCTCTCTCTTTCTCTGTGTCTCTCTCTTTTCTCTCTCTCATTCTGATGGATGTGACTGTACTTCTCTATTTATTTGTATTAGTAGTCACTGAGTTTCCTGAATCTGAGGATTTGAGTTTTTCATCACTTCCCCAAAATCCTCAATTAATATATGTCTGTCTAAGACTTCTTCCTGGTTCTTTCTTATCTCTATTTCAGTTATCCTTAACAAATATATGTTAGATGTTCTCATCCTTTTTTCTAAATCTTTAATTTTTTCCATCCTAGTTTAGCTACAACATACATGTAATTTGAATCATCTTTTGAGTTATCCTGTTCTAAAAGATATATAGAAACATACGATTTTTAAACATCTACTTGGGTATTTCAAATAACCTTTTATTAGTTCTAGAAGATATATAGAAAATGCTTTTCTGACATTTTACTTGGATATTTAAATAATCCCTTACTATTTGTTCATATTTTTAAGTGCTGTTTTTTCTTTAAACATAATTAAACATGCTCATTTTTATATTCTGAGTCTTATAAGAGCAAAAATCTGTAGTATTTGGATCTAATTATCTTATTTATTGTTTCTGTTTACTCATGGTGCCTTATTCCCACCAGTGTTTTGTAATATATATATTTTTTTATTAAGGAATAATGGCAACGACTATTCCATAGGTGATGAATCCACAGAGAACTAACTAATCTCAACCCAAGTAAATAAACAGAAATCCATGTGGAGATATATAAAAGCAAAAGTGCAGAACATCAAAGAAGTTGTCCATGTAGATAATTTAACTTAAAACAGACTTGATTTAAAAATGCTAATTCTAGCAAATTCTAGACACCCAGGGAATAGGAAATACTCTCAGGCCAATAAAGAGCTTCAGTAATGTGTTGTTCCTATTTTTCTTTTTCTTATTATTTCACTTTTGAGTATTTGCATCATTATCTAACCAGCTCAGCTATGCATTTAGATGGTTAAGAGTTTTTGTTTTCTGTTTTCTTTCATAATCCATTATTTTAGATAGTACTAGGACTGAGGCTATTTCATAATATTACTATATTTTTAAAAATAAAAGTCAGAGGTAGATAATTTTAAAATATGTATATATATATCCAGTTACATATATCAACTGGCTGTCATCAAACAGCAAGTTTTAGCTTACAGAAGGACATACGCCCACATACACTGTTGACTATTAACCTCTCTGTAGTTCATTGGTTTTGTCCGGGCATACCTCCCACCCCTGTTGCAGGATGGAGAACTGATTCCAGAAAAATGTAGCTACTTTCAGTCTATTACAAAACAAGGATTTCCTTTGTTAGACTAATTTTACATTTCCATATATACGAAGTGTTTTCACAATACTTTAGTGCAGCATAAAAGTGGCATTTCTTTGTATAATTTTTTTTTCTTCTCTAGAGTTGCCAGCATAACTACTATGAGGATGCAAAAGCCTATGGATTCAAAAATAAACTAATTATAGTTGCAGCTGAAACAGCTGGAAATGGATTGTATAATTTTATTGTTCCTCTCAGGGCATATTATAGACCAAAGAAAGAACTCAATCCCATAGTGCTGCTATTGGACAACCCGTAAGTATATTTCAAAATACACAAATGAGATAGTTTTTAATATTATATTAGGGACATAAAAATAATTTACTTTAATTTGCTGTTAGTATTTGAAATCAGATACTTTATGGTACACTGTTCATTGGGAGATACATTCTATGCTGTGATTAAAAAAAATTGAATATGGTCAAATTTTACAAATACTAGTTACAACGTCATTGGAATACTCCAGAAATTTTATTTAAAACTATTTTGCAAGTGGTCATCTACTCACAATGCCATGGGAAACAGGCCACTGAAATAATTACTGCAATTTTCTTTAAATTAATCAACTCGCCTGAAAAAAATCTCTGCCAAAACAGGACAATTTTATCCTAAAAGACTATTAATTATCGGAGAAGCATTTCCCAACTCATTTGTGTATGTTATACCATGAGGCATAATCATCAGTTTTTTAAAATTTATGTATTTATTTATTTTAAGAGATTTTTGCGTTAGGGTGCATGCGCTCGCCAGAGATAGAGAGACGGAGACAGTGAGAGAGAGTGAAAAATCACTCCCCCCACCCAGGGGAGTGGCCACATCACAGTCCCTTCTCTTTCAGTCTTTTCTTAGGATCTTGGGCATGCATGCACAGGTACCTGACATGAGTTTCAAGCCACGGGGTCCAAGACTCGAACCACAGTTAACTACATGGTAGTACAGTGACGTAACCATTATGCCATCTGCTGGTCCCAACCAACATAATTTTTAAGCTACCGGGGCCAGGACTTGAACCACAGTTGGCCATGTGGGAGTCCAGCAATGTAATCATTACGCCATCTGCTAGTTGTCATCACCAGTTATTATGTTAAAACATACATTCTATAATGGAATATAGAAGGAATAACACTTTACCACGTATATTTCTTTTTAAAAGGTGGGATTGATTTACTTTTGTTAAATAAGACTGCCATAAGCATTTTATAGTTCTTAGGCAAGTAAAAATGTAGGTCGCTGAATGAAATAGTCAAAACTGTTTTATTCTAACATTAGAACATCCCTGTCTGTGATAGGAAATTAGTAGCAGGTGGCCCTTAGATCAATACCACATTTTAGGATTCTCCCTTCCACTCCTCATCGATTCTGAAGGAATATAAGTTTCAAGATAAACCAAATGAGGCCAAATTCTGCTGCCTTGCCTGTCATTCAAAAATGATCTTGTGAAATTCCTTAGAGCATGAATCTCTCTGACATAACAACATTATGATATTATTTATTCTGGATATACCAGTGTTAAAGTATTCATTTGTTGCATCTTAGCATCATAATCACACTGGTAATCCAGTTTATTATTATTATTAGTAGTAGTAGTATTTTTTTAATTTTTGGAGAGGTTTTTGCTATAGGGCATGTGCGCTCACCAGAAAGACAAAGAGAAAGTGAGAAATCACACACACACACACACCCCCCAGGGGATGGCCATGCCACAACCCCTTCTCCATTCATACCTCAGGATTTTGGGCACACACACATGTACCCAGCATGATTTTTAAGCTGCTGGGTCTGGGACTTGAACCATGGTCAGCGAGTATGGTTATTATCTTTTAATATATATGAATATCTATAGCATTATCATTATTTGGACTAGGAGAATATCCATAGATCAAATTTCTGAAAATGGCAGTTCCCCTAACAGATGGATTCCAGCCCAGCTGTCCCTCTAATGAGTTATATTTTATTATTATTATTATTATTATTATTTATTGAAACCTCTTTAGCAACTACGGAAACTTGAAGCATATTTAGGGTAAGTAAAGATGGGGCAACAGAAACCCAATGTTAGAGGAAATAAAAGTTTTTTAAAACAAAATGTAGAGCCATAACAGCTGTGGCCTGGCTAGGGCAGTAGAGTGGGGCAGAGTAACTCCAAGGTCCTAATTTCGAAGCTTCTCTGGTTGAAAGTTTCAGAGCACAACAGGGTTCAATTCTCTTTGTGCATTTAAATTGTTTACGATGTGGTCACTGCCCTGGGGATTGGATTGAAAAGGGGTATTTACAAACTCATGGCCCTTAGAGCTACCCCAGCACAGGATTAACTCAGGCCCCCATATTACAGAACAGGAGTTAAGAGACTTGAGAAAGAAGAACTGGAGCAGAATTTAAAGCATTCCTCTGGAAGGGCTTGGTGGAAAACCGTGGCTTCTTGTACTTTATTTCAGGATACAGTTTCTTGCCCTGTGTAAACCTTCCCAAAAATTCAGTGGCTTTGTATTTGGGAGTGGAGTTCACTCTAGAGAAAGAGATTAAACTCTTTTTTTCAGTCTCCAGTCTTGCTAAGTAACCCCATCTTAGCATGACCAAGTCCACTTTTCTACCTCATTATCGCAGAGCAAGTGACCAGATTTAAGAAGTCCTTAATTGCATACCTTATGAAGATTGAAGAGTAACTGTAACCTTATTAGTCCCTTTCTGTTTGATTTCGAATAAACAGATTACCAGCATCTCCAAATACTGAATAATTTATCGACTTGTTAGGATTATAATCAAGTGATTGTATAGACTTAATTCCTGAATTTGGTCGATCTTGGAAAATCTTTTTTTTGGAGAGGTTTTCGCTATAGGGCGCGTGCGCTCGCCAGACAGACAGAGAGAGACATAGAGACAGAAAGCGAGAAATCACCCCCTAGGGGGGATGATCACGCCGCAATCCCTTCTCCTCCATTCTCCTCTCGGGATCTTGGGCACACACGCACACGCACCCGGCGTGAGTTTTAAGCCACCAGGTCCGGGATGCGAACTGCGGTCAACTATGTGGGAGTCCAGCAACATAGCCATTACGCTAACTGCTGGTTCCTGTAAAATCTTAATTACTAAAAAAAATGGGTCACTATTTTTAAATATAGAAGTGACTTTTACCAGAAAATAGTTTGTCTTAGTGAAACCATGAGAAGTAGTTAATAAAGTCAGTCTGTGTCACCTCCACTCCAGTCATAACAGTAACTAAGTACTGAGCATGCCCTACATGTCAGGCATTGTGCTAGTCATCACCCTCTCTCATTACAGTGAGAACAGTTGAGTAAACTGAAGACCACGTGGCTAAGGTCCACTGTTTTCTCTTATTTCACAGGCTGTAAAACAGACACCATCAAGTTAAATGACCTTTCCCAAGGCCAGTTCTAGGATTAGAACCTTCTAAGTAATTTCTAGTTCAATGTTCTTTCAGGTATATGATCTTGCCTAATTTACAGGTGTGTATGTGTGTGTGTGTATTTGTGTGTGTGTGTGTATTTGTGTGTGTGTGATTGCTGTTCAGAAATTATTTTTAAGAACAAAAATACATTTTAGTTTCAAGTGACTGCTTTAAAAAAATCCCATTGGCCTTCCTAATGGCTTACATTTGGGAATCCCTCTATTCACATGATATTGTAGTTAGATGATTCTTGTGGGGTTTGACTTCATTTCAAAGGATTCAGTTAAAAGTGCATGCTGTAAAATCTATTAGCTTTCTGTGTATTTCCCGAAAGTGGTGTCTAACATTTTTATTTGTTCTCCTCTACTCCTTTGGTAGAAAAGGAGGATACCAAAACTACCAATAAATGTTCCAGGAAGTTTTATGCAATCCTTTTATTTTTCTTTTTAAACAATGAAATGCCTGTTACTCTGAAATAGCTAGTATTTTGCAATTTATCCTACCATATTGCAAAGAAATATGATGCTTTCTTTTTCAAAATATTTCCATATTAATAATTTTTATACACCTCTTCAATTATTAGTTCATTTGGGGATTTAAGTTTTATTTTTCTTTTTAAACAATGAAATGCCTGTTACTCTGAAATAGCTAGTATTTTGCAATTTATCCTACCATATTGCAAAGAAATATGATGCTTTCTTTTTCAAAATATTTCCATATTAGAATTTTTATACACCAATTCAATTATTAGTTCATTTGGGGATTTAAGTTTTATTTTAAATTCACATGAGCGTTGCTGAAAATAATATTTAGCACATAGCTATTTCGGAAATTTAGATGAAAGACCAATTAATTCAATATAACAGAACTAAATAATAACAGATGTCCCAAGTATGGAGTTTTAAAATGTAAATTAAACTTATAATATTCACACACATAATAAGCCAAAATACATATTCACAATGTTTCCAAATAGAAAGACTTCTAGATCTCATATGGTAATTAAATAAAATTCAGTCATATTGAAAAACATCTTTCACTTGGTACAGGTTCATGAGAGCTGGTGTCAGTTTTGATTGGTTGACCATCTGTTCTGTGGGTCTGTTTGCCATACTGATTTTAAATATTTTGATTACCGCCCAATCTTAAAGGTCATCCAGTCATCTGATAGCACCATTTCAGATGAGAAATAGAAAAGCAAGTCAAGAGCTGGAATATGTTACATAAGGCTACGCAAAGTGCAAGATCCAGTCACTTAATTTTTACCAAAGTATTGCTTCTCACATCCATTTATTGAATTGGTCTTCTTTCACATGTAGTGCCAAAGTAAACTTTAGTTCCCTTTGTTTTAAAAATTATAGAATGCCTCATATATTAGTGTCCTTATTAAATTTAAAATTTGGACACCTACAAATCTGATATAAGATCTAGACTTATCCTCTTAATAGGCCTGTTACATGCTATTCAATATCTCTGGGGCCCGTTTTCTTGATTTGTAATATGATTAGAAAATTTATCTTAACAAGTTATTATAAACTGCTCATAAAGACATACTACTATTTTAAGAGACTTTGCTACAGGGTGCATGTGCTTGCTGGAGAGACACGGAGACAGAAAGTGAGAAATCATCCCTCAGGGGGGATGGCAATGCCGCAATCCTTTCTCCTCCATTCTTCTATCAGAATCTTGGGCTCACACACATGTCTGATGTGAGTTTTAAGCCACTGGGTCCAGGATTTGAACCGCGGTTGACAGTGTTGGAGTCCAGCAACCTAACCGTTACACTACCTGCTGGTCCCTGTATTTATTTCTTGAATTTGAAATAAAAAACTTAAATATTTTATGGTTATTAATTCAATGGAAAGATTTAGTAGTCTTGAATTTGTACATCCCTGCAAATTCACAAATCTTTACACTATTTAGCCATCACTAGCTATAGGTATTTAATGTGTTCATATAATCCAATTATTATTATGAATATCTTATAAAGAGATAAAGTTTTAGGCTCATACGTAGTCCTATTCTTTAGCAGAACTACAGTTAGGACTTTAATGAATAAATGTTCTAATTTTTCTCTTGTTTATTAACATCAGTTAATTTTCGTGTCTGTTGATTTTTTTTCACTTTTTACTAGTTTCAACCTGCTTCCTTTTGCTTTGTTTTGGCACTTGCATATTTATCCTGCCTAGATCTACTTTCCTCTCATGATTTGAAATATTTCTTTATATATTAGATCAATTTGGTCTGTACATTCTAAGTGACAATTCTTTGACATTTGTGTTTCTTATATGTAATATTTTGTCATGAGCTATATGGTTAAATGAGTCAATTATTTTTTTCTTAATGTAATTTGTAACATAGATAGGCCTTCTCTATTTAGCAATCAGATCTTAAAACAAAAACCTTCATACATTTAATGCTGTTGTATTACTGGTTTTATTTTTTTTCTCTGCATTCAATTCTTTATCTGTACCTTGATGGTGTAATATAAGAAAGGAACTTCTAGGGATCAGCAGGTGGCATAATGGTTACATCGCTGGACTCATATGTAATTGACCACATTTTGAATCCTGGATCTGGCAGCTTAAAACTCACACCAGACATGTGTGCGTGCATGCCCCAAATCCCAAGTAGAATGGAAGACAAAAGATTGCAGTGTGACTATACCCCATTAGGGGTGATTTCTTGCTTTCTGTCTCTCTGGCAAGTGCATGGGCCCTATAGCAAGAAAAAAAAAAAAAAAAAAAAAAAAAAAAAAAAAAAAAAAAAAGGAACATCTATTTTTTTATGAATGTTTTCTGTTTTTGTTTAGTGTTTCTCAATAGTAATGCTTCTCAATGTAAAGTTAATGCTTGCCAATTAACTGTCTCCCAATGACTAACTGATTAGTCTGTTAAGAGCCCCTGATATCATTTAGATTACTCAGTTACTGAGTAAGTTGGTGTCATCAACAGTGTTGCCAACTTACTTAAATGCACTGATTCAGTACATGTGAATACACAGTTGATTTATTCTGTACATTTCTGGTTTGCTTTCAAACCATGTTTTCAAAAAGCAGTTGTGGGTGAATTTATCGTTATATAAAATTGAATTTTACAAAAAGAACGCATAATAGAACCCTTGCACTAGAAATGTTTCATGATTGTATATTTCTGGGGGTTCAGAGGACTTGATTTACCTGTAACACAGCCGAATTCATGTAAGGCTGAACCAGGCCATCCCAATGCAGATGTTAAGGCAACTTGTAAAGATTTGGAAGATTGCTTGCACATTGTAAGGAAGTATTTATGATAGAATTTGACGTGACTGAAAGTTACAAATTTTCTTTTTTATGCTTCATTGTGTAAACGTTCTTTTTCTTAAAGCATAGAGAGATAGATAATCAACAGGAAGGAAATAAGTCAGAGAGGAGAAGGGTTGATCTCCCTGGGAAGTTATAGGGGAACTTGTAGGTGCTATAATTTCCTTGGCCCAGAATGTCAGTTTTCTTCTCTTATATTGGGCAAATTCCTGTGTACCATTCATCACCCCCAAATAAATAGCACCTCTATGAATGTTACCAAGTTCCTACTCCCAAGTGCAATCCATTATTTTTCAGATTAGAACATATAGTTTAACTGTGTGCATTTGCCTAAAATTTAAAAAACTGTATTTCTTACAAATTAATATTTTTTACATGTGCCAGAGTATATTAAAATGCCGATTAAATATAATTTTTATGGATACCTAGATGCTGAGTGAATAAATTCATGAATTAATTAATAATTTTGTAAAATGAATATGATCAATTAAATTATTGTCAAAGAAGCTTTCAGGTTTGTGGTCCTTTTTCAAGCATTCATACAAATAAAGATTTCGGTCATAATTAGTGTTTGCTCAACAACGTAGATGACTAAATCAATAAACTGAAAGGAGAATTGCTTCAATTGTAACTATAAAATACATATTTGCATGGGTGCATACACTATATTTATCTGATATGTCGATATGTTATAGGCTTTGTTGCAATTTAGAGAAGGTTGCTTTTAATAGACATTAGTATCTCTTTTTTTTAGGTCTTCTAAGAAAAAACCATTAGCTATTCATTTTACAGGGCCTTTTCTGTATAGATGGCTTTTAAATTCATTGATAAGACTTTTAAGTTATAGTTAAGAATATCAGTTTAGCATTCTCATAGAGGTATGCCATAATGTTTCTTATTGAGGAAGCTGAAATATATTTTCATGATTCTAAGGGCATTGTATGATTTACAGTAAGTATAAATGACATTTTCTAAAGCATGTTAAAAGCAAAGGCACTTAAGACTTCATTGCTACTAAGTCAACTTAACTTCCTTTCCCTAGAAGTGCTGCCACTGTAGTGACGTTGTGTTTCATTTTGTAACCCATCTGCTACTTAGGCCAGATATGCATTTTCTGGATGCAATCTGTTGGTTTCCAATGGTTTACTACATGGTGGGCTCTATTGACAAGTAGGTGACAAAGTCTTTGGCACACTAACTAGTGTAGTGTCCTGTGGTTTGTCATGTGCCGTGCCTTGTTACTGCATGATGAGTGTAATTTGCTATGTCAGTATTGTAAATATGAATTGTTTTGCATGTAGAGCTTATGTTCTTGTGTTATACATCGTGTATGAAACTTCCTAAGCTGTAGTCTGTTGTTCAATTAAAGCAAATCTTGCTGCATGTCAGTTTTGTCAGTTTTGCTCAGCTTCTCTAGCTGTTCCAATTTTGTGTCATCTATAAAAACAGCATTATTACTATTGATATAGTGATGGAGAAAACCTTAATGTGTAATTTGTGATGAATTGATACCATTACCATAGGTCCCAGAAACCTTCAAAACAATGTAAAAATGCTCACTTTAACTTAGATTTATAAATGGAAGTGTTTTCTTTATTGTAGTCATATATCTGAGTCTATAATTTTTCTAAAATAGTTGTTAGTTAAAAGGTTATTGTGTATAACGCACTAGTATTAAAATGAAATTCTTATGTATGCATCATGGTGACATTAAATAAAAATGAACAACCAAAACTAATATTGAAATAATAAATATAAGATTTGAAAACATTTTCCATTAAAAAAAAAAAAAAAGTCAGCCAGAGCCTTTGTGGGGAAAATGCCTAAATTTACCATTTGAGAAATTTGAGAACTTTCAACACTAATTCTTACATGTCAGTCTGTAGATGTTAAAAATAATGCTATGATTCTGAAAATATTTACTAGTTATAGGTACATTAAAGGCCAACCAGACTAAAATATATTTAACCTGCATTCTACATTATTGTAATACATATTATTAGTTATCATAATGCTAACCAACTAACTAAAGTATACTTATACGTACTATAATTAGTGTCGAAATCCTACGTATATTGGGTATTTTATAACCAATAATGTTACTTTCAATGAAAATGTTCTATTAAAATTCATTAGAAAAGTAGTCTATGTAAAAGATGAAAAATAATCTTCCCATTTTCCTTCCTGATATGAAGTATGAAGTGGATTCTTCCTTGTGTAAGTACTTTTGGGATGGAAAAGAAGCACTGAGAACATCTAATTCCTAGAGGTAGAAATGGAGCAGGATTGACTATGAGTTGATAGTTATTGAAGCTGGGGAATGGAGCCATGGAGGATCCCTGCAAAATTTTCTCTTCCTTACGTTCGAAAATTTCCTTAGAAACAACAATAACAGAAAACTCTCCTCAAAAATCCCTCGCAGACACTGTCACACTAATAGGTGTCACATTATAGTCCTTGGAAAAAGAAGTCTTTCAGGAGAATAAAAAGGGAGTCCTCTTCAGTTAGATTATCTCTAACTTTTTTCCATCCAGACTGACTTTGTTGGACAGCCACCTGGTGGCCAAACTATGTAAAGCACCTAAACTGAAGAAAAATAAGACAATGGTCTTATCGATGGGACGGGGGAGGCATTATATAAAGGATGAAATGCATTATTAAACACATTTTAAAAAAGCATAATTTTGAGTTAAACACAAGAGCAAAAATCTACATGGTTTAGCAATATCATTCTAATTTCATATATTTTCTGTAACCTCGTACTTAATCACTACTAAAATTCTTTGCCAAGGTTCTGTGTAAACTGTAACAGCTTTTATTTTAAGGGTTAAATTAACTGATATATAGGAGTATAATGGCTGTTAGCTACTCAGCACAGATACTCTCAAGATGAAAGTTTTACTAGGTATTAATGTCAACTTTATTAGGTTGTTACCGATTAAATATTTCTCCTTCTTATCCTCATTTCTATCTGTATCTCCTCGTCCAGTCACTCTTACTTTTTACTGACTTTTATTTCCCTTTTACCATATAAATATTATAATAATGATATTTCTTAATGGAAAAAGAAAAAAACAGGGGGAATTAAAACAGGAGACAGTGATTTAAAGTTAGAATAAGGTGATTTGAAGACCTATGACTTAGGTATCATTTTGATGGTCTGTCAGAGACCATATCACATTCACTGGTTTATCCCTTTCTTTTTAAAATATATTTCACTAGACATAAGAATAATTACTGCGAATTTCCTATTTACAAGGAAAACTAAGTCTTCCTAGAGATTATTATTATTATTATTATTATTTTGGGAGGTAAAGGTTTTTGCCTTAGGGCACACGTGTTCTCCAGAAGGAGACATGCACACACAGACAGTGAGAGGGAAAGTGAGAAATCACCCTCTGGGAGGATGGCCACACTGCAATCCCTTCTCCATTCTTCTCTTGGAACCTTGGGCACGCACACGCACCCGGCGTGAATTTCAAGCCACAAGGTCTGGGACGTGAAGTGTGGTCAGCCATGTGGGAGTCTGGAGATGTAATTGCTATGCCATCTGTTGGCCCCAGTCTTCCTAGAGATTTAAACTTGAACATAATCGTATTGGTTGGATATTGTGATCCCATTCCTTTCACTGTAAGGAATTTATTTAGAACAATATTCAATATTCCACAGTTTCAGCCAAAAATATTTGCCACTGAATATTTTTCCTGAATCAATAAAGTTTTTTTTTTTTTTTTTGGCGGGGAGCTCCTCCTGGGGATTTTGGGCTCAGGGTTTTGGTAGTACTCTCACCAAATAACCTCCTGCCTCCCATCTTCCCATAGAACTAAATTAATTCCCTCTAGGAGACTTGGCCAACTCAATCAGTCTACACTTGGAAAGGTTATTAAATTATGACTCATCAATGTAAAAGTCTAAGAGGAACTGCCGTTCCTTGAGTTTTGAGTTTCCTATTTTAAATCAGAAGATGTGAAAGTCAATGAACCTATCTCCTCTTATGTGCCTTCAATCAACTCTACCCAGAACACTGTTGCACTCTTGTACTTATTCAAGTTCAGTCTCCCTCATCCAACTCAGTCCTATTTTTCTAATTTGTATGAAGCAGAAGCAACAAGAATAATCATTTCCCTGTTTCAACTGTAATAGTAAACACTTTTTTTGTTTCATTGGTAGAACGTGAAGTAAGCTTTTTTGGTCAGTTATAGGAGGAAAGATTGATTCTATTGTAGCTCATAGGTGTTTGTATCCTCGTTTAGCAATTACTTCACACAGAGCAAGAAGCCAGGTTTTTCAATCAATTGCTCAAATACTTGGGCTAGCTAAATGGTAGGCTTGAATAAAATGGGAATTTATGTATTTCACTTGCTCTTGACTGTGTACAACAATCTATATAAAATGCATAGCTCTTACATAAATTATAGATCTTTAAAAATAAACATTTACTGTTTTTATTTTTATTAGGCTTGACCATCTAAATTAATATAGTAATGCTCCATTTCTACTCTTACCAAAAGCACCTTGGAAATAAAAAATGCCATGTTGTGTCTTTGAAGTATCATGTTAACTGTAAAAACAAAACTCTAACATGGCCCATTTCTATGTGATTGTAAAAATGGGTGTTTTCCACGTTTCTTTGTATCGTTAAAATATCATTAAATAAAAGTCCTTAGCACATGTGCTTTGAAACAATTGAGATCTAATGGAATGTAAAGGACCCCAAATCAAAGTTGTTTTCTATCTATAGATAAATATGGGTGTCCCAATTCCCATTAATATCCACCTGCACACATCCTGTAAATGCCACCAATGGAAGAGGGCAGCCTGTAGGACCAGGGGCTAGGTAAGTTTCAGCACTGATTCTAGCAGTATGATTTACTGAAACTGTTTCTCTCTGTTGGTTTTTATCAAAGCCTAGATGATCTACTCAGGTGTGGGGTGACTTTTGCTGCCAACATGGTGGTCGTGGACAAAGAGAGCACCATGAGTGCTGAGGAGGACTACATGGCCGACGCCAAGACCATCGTCAACGTGCAGACACTTTTCAGGTAAATGCCAGCCTTGTCGCTGGCCCGTGCCAAATGTGTGACGTATATAAATCTAAATCCTGTGTGAGGAATGAACAGGAAACACACCGACTTGATCGTCCTTCATGTGTCTATTTGATTATAAAATAAATACTTAGCCCCTAATATGATGGTGCTTCAAAACCTGTAGGAAAATAGAATTAAAGGATGAGTTCATTTTGACGCTAAATTGTTTTTGAAATTCTTGCATAATTGTTTTCCGAATTCACATTTTTCATGAACTTTGTGAAGACAAGGGGCACTGCATAAAGTGAACACTTTAATATCAGATCTGTAATTAGTAATACTCTTAAATAGAACGATATGTCTAATTTCTCAGATATTTTCCTAATCTGAAAAGTTGTATGCAGTAGCAACTGTGATTGTGACATGCTCTAATTTTGTTTTATTTTTGCCTAGCAGTGGCCAAAGGTAGGTATTTAGATATGTAGTAACTAAGGCTGAGAGATTTCAAGGCTGTGAATAGCCGTTCTACCCATGGAAGGAGCAAAGTCAGCCTCGCTTTTTCCCTGTCTTTCATTAATTAAACTTAGGCAGAATCTAAGTCCCCATATAGGTCATCTTTGGGTAAGAAGGAATAGACCAGATGAAAGGCAGTCCATGCTATTGGCAAAGTCAACATTGTCCATAAATCAAAACAGCTATGTCACTTGGAATGATTCTCCCTAAAATTACCTGAAAATGCAAACTTCAGAAAGATGTTTCATTATTTCAGGTTTCTGAGTCTTGCAGAAGCCTAGCATTACTACGTCAACTGCGAAATTGTGAAAGTCAGTGAAACAACCTCAACTCTATCGTCATCCACTCTCACACTCTACCTTTACATCTTCCTGTCGTAGAGCAACCCACATGGAGGCTGGTTATCTCAGTTCCTAGTTTGAATTCAAAACCAGGTAGCGCTAGGCCAGGAGGTGGCATGGAGGTTAAGATGGCTGGATCCCATGTGACCCACTCTGCAATTCCAATCTGTACCTGATGGCCTGAAAAACGTGCCAGGCCAGTGTGCGTGCATCCCCAAAACAGCAGAGAATGGAGAAGGAAGTCTGGTGGGGTTGTCCTCCCTGGGGGTGATTTCTCACTTGTCCTCTTTCTCTATCTCTCTCTGGCATGTACACGTCCCTATGACAAATAAAATAAAATAAAATAATTTAAAAATTAAATTCAGTTAGAGCTAGACATGAGTCCCAGTTGAATATTTTCAATATGATCTCACACTAACAACTTTCTTTCTGTAAGCTTCATTGTCTTAATCAGAAGATTAACATCATATAATGCCTTAAGTACATGCTTGGTAATTTTTAATTGCTTGATAAGTATTAGTATATTTACTAGCAATGTATTTATCCCTTTCCATGGGTGAGTAGAAAAGCCACAGGCCTTGAGCTGCGTATCAGCGAACTTCCTGTCTCAGGCTCCCTCCCGGAGGCTCCAGCAGGCATGTACTAACTGTGTGACCTTCAGTGTGTTCCTAACCTCATTGAAATTCATCTTAAATTCTGTGGAAAAGAATCAGCCACCTTGCAGTGTTAAGGTAGAAATCAGGCATGTGAAGAATCTGTCACATCACCTGGAAAATCTACTCTGAATTTGCATAAGAACCTCTTGTTCCAGAAGGACTGCTCACTCTAAACTATTATAATGCAGCAACTCACCCAGAATATAGCTGACTTCTTATGGAGCTGTATTAAATAGTACGTTTAGAGGTAATATAGGACATGTTTAAAATTTGACAAATATATATATTTTTTTCTCTCTTGAATAAAAAGGAAATTACAGGGTACAAAGTCAATTCAGGGATGAAATTTATAGCCAGTGAATAAAATAAAATCATACTTTTTGATTCCAGGCTTAACAAAAGCTAACTATAGTTTTTTTTGGTTTTTTTTTTTGAGAGATTTTCACTGTAGGGTGCGTGCGCTCGCCAGACAGAGAGAGACATAGAGACAGAAAGCGAGAAATCACCCCCCAGAGGGGATGGTCACGCCGCAATCCCTTCTCCTCCATTCTCCTCTCGGGATATTAGGCACGCACGCACACGCACCCGGCGTGAGATTTAAGCCACCGTGTCCGGGACACGAACCGCGGTCGACTACGTGGGAGTCCAGCAACAAAGCCATTACGCTAACTGCTGGTTCCCAAGCTAACTATAGTTTTAGCAGGAGAGGATCCTGGGTCTTTTTGCTTAAATGGTATTTTATTTTCCACTTACTGTTTTTTTTTTTTTTTCTGTTATAGTGACGTTTTTATTAATTTTACTTTTATTATATGTTTTCTGAATAAATTATTTTGATTTCAAGATAATAACAATATCTGTTTTTCTGAGAGGTACAAAGGTCCTAATTAATCATTTAAAACTGACTCATTTACCAGACTGAGTAATTAAGGGTAGATACACACAGGGCAACTGTCTGTACAGAGGCTGCCCTTCCCTGAGTGCCTGGCTGAGATTACCACCACATGTTGAGTGAATGAATGGCCGGATGAATGAATGAGCAAACGGCTGACTTCTGTTTTCAGTATGTTTTAGTACAAATATTCAAAGATAAAACCCTTATTCTTTTTTTTTTTTTTAGGGTGTGTACAATTGAGAGAGGGAGAGAGAGAGAATCCCTAATGCATGGTCATGGTGTAGTACTTTTTTTTCCTTTCTCCTTCTCGTCAGGATTTGGGACACCCACACCCACACACACACACACACACACACGTGCCAAGCATTTTTTTTTGGGGGGGGGGGGGTTTTTGCTATAGGGCGTGGGCTCTGGTTTTTGCTATAGGGCATGTGCTCTCACCTGAAAGAGACAGAGAGACAGAGAGCAAGAAATCACCCCCCCACACACACACACCCCAGAGGAGATGGCCACACCGCTCTCCCTTCTCCATTCTCTTCTCAGGATCTTGGCTACGCATGCACACACACCCTGAGTGAGTTTAAGCCACGGAGTCCGGGACTCAGACTGCAGTCGACTGCCTGGGAGTCCAGCGACATAGTCATTATGCCAACTGCTGGTCCCCAAGCATGTTTTTTAAGCTTAAGCTGCTGCTGGGCTTCCCATTGCAGTCAGCTTACGGGATATGGCTCCCAATGTATAACACTTAATCATTGTACCCTGGACTGGCCCCCAGGGAAAATTCTTCCTTTAAATACATTTGGGAGGCAAATCACGCAATTGAGTCACTTTGGATTATATTCAGCTGATTCACTTTATTACTGGAATAATTTATAAGCTATTAATCTTATAAATAAATCTATGTGTGTTAGTCTAGACTAGTCTTACATAATAAAACAATACTGAGACATCTCTAAGTACCTCTGATATAAGGGACGTCACTTATATGGATAAATGGCCAGAATCTTCAGCCTTGGGAGTTCTATTTCATGGGGACAGTCAGTTGCCAACCTCTGGGCCACTCTTCTGCATTCCTTGAAGATTTTAGTTCCTAATTTACTATGACTTTTGACAAACCTGTTTCTACTGTAATTCTTGATGATGTCAACAATCTTAAAGACGTGAGCTTTTCTACATATTACCTTAGTCACCCATGCTCCTTTTCACAGCCTTCCCCTTGAACTCTGAGTAATTTTGCCCTCCATATTCTTTCTCTGTTTCTGGTACTCAGCTTTGAGTACCATGATTTATTTGCTAGTTTCCTCTACTACCTCCCACTCTGAATAACCCTTTGACCACAATGGAGCCTGTCGTCCACTGATCCCATTACCTTTTCTCGGCCCCTAGTCACCAGAGAGCGTCTCTTCCCTTGTGATCCAGATTAAACTCCATCTCTCATTATCACTTCTGAGCTGAAACCCTCAATGGATTATCACCGAGGATCCGTTACAGGCTAGCACTGTTCTCAACTCTCTTTCCCCTTTTTTTCTTGCTCTCAGTTTTCTGTCCTTTTAGGTTCTTCACCCACCACCTTGCATGAAATTCTCTAGGCGCAGATACCATTCCAGTGGTAGGATCCACTTACCCTTGTCAGTTAGCATGACACAACCAGAAATCCAGGCAGAGTGGCTGAATGCCAGATTATTTAGGATTAAAGTCTTGGGCCCCTCCGTGAGAGAACTAAATCCTCACGCATTGATTACAATTATGCAAGAGGGACTAGACTCTATCTCAGCCAGTCCTCTTATGTCAATGAACACCGCGAACATCTTCAGCCAAAAGCCCGCTTCTAATTGGCTTGTTGGGAAGGCTTGTGATACTTGTGGGAACTGTGTTTAAAAACCCAAATGAGCCACACTGGGTAGTGACATTGACTGCTGGTTGCTCCTGAGTTTAACAAAAACCAACACATGTGCCTATTACACGATTTATTCTGGAATATTTTAAAGTACATTATAGACATCAAAAGTGTCATCCATTTAGTATTGATGGATTATCTGTTCCACAAGAGTTCAGAAGTCTCAAGTCTTACTTTCATCTAGACAGTCTGAATGTGTCCGCAGTACTTTGCATCTTTCTGCCAAGTGGGGTTGTCGAGTGGCTGTGTGCGGTGATTTCAGCAGTGCCTGAGGCAGAGAACACGGGTGTTCATTGGCAGCTGCTGTGTGATGAAGGAATACCTCAAGTTGATCCTTTCTAAATACGGCGGTCACAGAAGGGATACATGGACACAGACATCATGGTGGTTTTGTTAGGTTTATTAGGGCCAGAAGTTAGATGCAATATTTTATTTGATTTGCTAGTTTGTTTCTAGGGACAAAAAGCAATCAAATCTTGTGATTTACCCAGTATCTGTATGTCTAATGTTAGGTAAAGAAAGATTTATGTATATTGCTCCGTTACATGAGGTGATGCCACATTTTATTTTAGCATTTATAAGTGATGATGTAGCTGTTGGGCCTGTGTTGCTTTCCATGGTTATTATGATATTTTGTTTTTATACAGGTATTTTGATTCAAAGACCCTGTTTTGCAAGGTTCTTTCCTCCTCCGAAGGGTGGGAGTTAGAAGAAGG